CCAGCTGAATTTTTGTATTTTTAGTAGAGACGGGGTTTCGCCATGTTGACCAGGATGGTCTCGATCTCTTGACCTCGTGATCCACCCGCCTCGGCCTCCCAAAGTGCTGGGATTACAGGCGTGAGCCACTGCGCCCGGCCTGTGCTAATATTTCAAACACAGTGGGGTCTGAACCTTTCCAGACAAATCTCACCTGCAACATTTCGTTAAAACCTGTCTTAAGGCCGGGCACGGTGGCTCAAGCCTGTAATCCCAGCACTTTGGGAGGCCGAGGCGGGTGGATCACGAGGTCAAGAGATTGAGACCATCCTGGTCAACATGGCGAAACCCCGTCTCTACTAAAAATACAAAAATTCAGCTGGGCATGGTGGCGCGTGCCTGTAATCCCAGCTACTCAGGAGGCTGAGGCAGGAGAATTGCCTGAACCCAGGAGGCGGAGGTTGCGGTGAGCCGAGATCGTGCCATTGCACTCCAGTCTGGGTAACATGAGTGAAACTCCGTCTCAAAAAAAAAACAAAAAAAAAAAACCTGTCTTAAGAGAAGCCTCCAGTTGGAGGTGTTGTGTTAGCCAACAAATGTAGACTCACTGTGCTCCCGAGTCAGTCATTAATATGCTGTACAGATTAACACCTTCAGGAATTCTGCACATTGTGAAGTGCAATACAAATATACAAATAAAATAACCGCAGACATTTATTAAGCTTACCACGTGCTCACAGACCCATGCTGCATATGTTGAATCTACTATCTCATTGCATCCTCAGAATGATTGATTCTAGCCGGGCGCGGTGGCTCACGCCTGTAATCCCAGCACTTTGGGAGGCCGAGGCGGGTGGATCACAAGGTCAAGAGATTGAGACCATCCTGGTCAACATGGTGAAACCTCGTCTCTACTAAAAATACAAAAAAAAAATTAGCTGGGCATGGTGGCATGTGCCTGTAGTCCCGGCCACTTGGGAGGCTGAGGCAGGAGAATTGCCTGAACCCAGGAGGCGGAGGTTGCGGTGAGCCGAGATCGCGCCATTTGCACTCCAGCCTGGGTAACATGAGTGAAACTCCGTATCAAAAAAAAAAAAAAAAAAGAAAAAAGAATGATTGATTCTATGAGGTGGATTCCATTACTGTCCCCATTCTCCAGGTGAGGAATTGTGACTCAGGGAGATGGATGTAGCATGTCAGTATGGACTCTGTGCTGGTTAGACAAGACATGTCCTGGCCCCATAAAGCCAGGCATGGCTTTTTCATCCCACGATGGCACCTCAGTTGAATCCAACTGTCACAGGAAGAAAGCTTTCCTGCAGTTCAGGGCCCATCTAGGTCCCCACAGTCCCAGCAGGTTTGGAAAGACTGTCCTCTACACACCACTTAAAAGCACCAGCCTAGCAGCCTGAGGGCCCACCAGCACCCCACCTCAAGCTACCACACTGCCCAGAAAGCAGCCTCCAGGGCAGTTTTACATCTATTGCTTGTGCCTAATGCTTGAGACATGGTTGCATTCAAGAAAAGGAGCCTTTCAGTGAGATGCTGCCACCACCATCCCCAAATGCCTGGTCGGCCCTAACCAGAGGAGAGCCTGTCCAGCCAGGGCAGCCCTCAGCTTCATCAGCAGCAAGGAGCTTGTGGTTTGCCCACCATTACCTTTTTGTTTGTTTGTTTTGAGACAGAGCCTTGCTTTATCGCCCAGGCTGAAGTGCAGTGGCGGGATCTCGGCTCACTGCAACTTCTGCCTACCAGATTCAAGTGATTCTCCTGCCTCAGCCTCCTCAGTAGCTGGAATTACTGGCATGCACCACCACACCCGGCTAATTTCTGTATTTTTAGTAGAGATGGAGTTTCACCGTGTTGACCAGGGTGGTCTCAAACCCCTGGCCTCAAGTAATCTGCCTGCCTCCAGCTTCCTAAGTGCTAGGATTATAGGTATGAGCCACTGCACCTGACCTGGTACCTTTTTCTTAGATGGGGCTTTCTAGAAGAAGCAGAATGAAAAAAGATTTAGTTTCTGAATAAAAAGGGGCCATTGGCAACCAGGTTTAGATGGCGTCATCAGGAATGCCTGGACAAGTGATGCACCATGTTGCTGCCCAGTTTCCCACTGGAAGAGATCCTGTGCAAAGAACCAGCAGCCTACCCTGGGTTCCAGTTAAAACAAGTACATCCTAGCACTCTGCGGACTACAGACTTACTGACAACTTTATGAGTTCTTAGATCAAGTTTTGTCACATTGGTCCAAGGTGAAGACATGACACAACACATTACTTGTGGCCTTGTTACTCTCTGTTAACTCCCTGAGTTACAGGTGAAAGTGCAGTTCAGCCAAAGATGAAAAGGGTCCCAGTGAGGCAGGAAAGGTAGCATTGTGAGGCTGGCATTTCATCCATGCTGTCTTGACCTAGAAGAGCTGTATCAACAGAGGTAAAGTGACCAATAAATTTACCATGGGATGAGACAGCTTCTAGTTTTTGAAAGATCTGGAATCATGTCTCTTTCTAAATCATGCCAGGTGCTATGAGGAACCTGTGCTGGCAGAAGAACTTGTGTTCATCCTCTGAGGCCCCCTGGTTTCCAACTAAGCCATGTGCTTAGCAGTGGGGGGTTTCCACTCATTTTTCTGGAGAATGTTATTGTTCAGAAACCACTCTCCACAGAGCATGTGATTAGATCCTTTTGTTACTTGGGTGGGAATCTAGGTCAGCTACAGAGCTCCTGTCTTGCCTTGACAGCTAATATTCATGCCTGTCTATGGTGGTCCTATTCCCAAAGAGGAATACACAATAGATTCTTCAGTGCAGTGAAACCTGTGTCACACCTGAAGGAGGAAGAGGTGCTAAGGAGCATGAAATGACCCGCCAAAGATATCAAGAACAGTTGTCTTCAGACTCTCTTCTGTCTGTCCATCTGTCTATTTATCCATCCAGCATTCAGAGCAGGTCTCCCGTATTTTAATGAAGGGAAGCTCTAATTTTTATTTCTCTGAGATCTAGAGATTACTTTAGGAAGAATGCAAACAGTGCTGAACGGCTAAAAAGAAAGGATTTACAGTGAGGGTCTCCTTCCTTCCATATGGGAAACCAGCAAATCATAGCCAGATGGGCTATCTACAGAGGAGGGCCTCACGTGTGGCAGGCTGAGGATTCCCTGCCTCGGTCCAGGTTTGTGCAGATTAAGGGATGCAGTTTAGCCTAGACGTAACCTGTGACCTCTCAGCATCCTTGGCAATTGGTTCTTTTCTGTTTTCTGAAAACAAAGGCCTTGAGTGTCCCTGCAAGTCCTATTGTGTAGGCAACTGGGATCCTATCTTTGGGGTGGGTGCAACTCATCCTTCTTTTCTGGGTAGTGTTAAAATTGAATTTAGAATGTTCTGGTTGTTAGTAATAGCATTAATTTTCCAAGGCCCTCGGAAAGGTCCCAACAATATATCTTCCTTTCAAGTTGATTCTCTTGGTACCCCATTCCCACCCCCAATGTGGTAGCTCAGTAGAAAGAGGCCCAGCATCTTCGGAAGACAGCTCTCTGCAGCCACAGTTCCTCCCTTGCACCTACTGAGGTTCTGAGCTGTCAGCCCCCCAGTACTGAAAGTCAAAAAATCAGGCAGCAACATGGTAACGCATTCTGTCCCAATATTGTCCTTTTAATGTCTAGTTATCATTGTAGGCAAAGTGGCTTGAACTTAAACTTTCATCCTAGAAACTTTAACACTTTTAGTGTTTGTATATTTTTGTAGCCAATAAGTAAAATATAGAACAAAGAGAAGGCTGCCTTTATTCAAGAAACTGTAAACCTGTCCCATTTGATCACAATCCTGTTGAAAGGAAGAAGCCTTACGAGGATAGTGCGTTTGCCACAACACTGAGCCGTGACAGCTGCAGCAACGGCTCCTGGAGCACAGGGCGGCTGGCGTGGGCTCGCCACCCTCACAGCCATTTGTCTGGCGGCTTGTATTCAGATGTATTAGTTCAGTAATCCAAAAATGGAAGGGTGATTTGGAACCTGGAGCAGCAGGCCGGGGGCGGCTGTGAATTCTACTTTGCACTTGCCCACTACATGGACACCCCAAGAAACTCACCGGCCCCAGCGCAGTGCATTCTGGACACTTATTTTTATCATCTTACCAACCTTCTTTCTTAAAACCAACTTCATTAAAATGGATCTTTCTAGAGTAACCACCAAATCACCTCCCCCATTCTCAGGCTGTTTTCCAGTCAAACCATGTTACTTGATTCAATTCCAACTATAATGTGTGTCTGCTACTGTTAAGTCATTGCCTTATAGTCAACCTCCAGGGTAGCCATAAACTCCAAGAGTTTGTCTATGTTCTTAGGTTGATAGGTTACATTTTCTCCTGGATAGTGGTCATGGGGGGAAATGTGGGAATTTTTCACTTTAGATGTTCATGCATGTTGGGGTTTGTTCTTAAATGGTGTCCCATTGATTGAAAGCCTTTTTCTCCCCTTCTTTTTAGGCTGCATTTGATGCCAGAAGGCAAACACAACCTGCATTTGCGTTTTGCAGATGAATTCAACAAGTTAGCAGAAGACTTCCTACAATGAGAATGCACACTTGAGTCTTGGTGGTTCCTCAGTGTGGGGTGTGATCGTGTTGCTCCCTGTTACCATGATGCCTTTGAAACTCTCTACCTGAGCTTTCTACCCCTCCCTTCAGTCTTATCCTGACCAAATGAGAATAATGATATGTTGAAAACAGCCTCTGGCTTCAGGTGGTGGCTCACAGCTACAATCTCAGCACTTTGGGAGGCTGGGGTGGGAGGGGCATTGCTTGAGTCCAGGAGTTCAAGACCAGCTTGTACCACATAGGGAGACTCTGGCTCTACAAAAAAAAAATTTTTTTTTTAATTAGCTAGGCAAAGTGGGACACAACTGTGGTCCCAGCTGCTCAGGAAGCTGAGGTGGAAGGATCACTTGAGCCCACTTCAAAGCTACAGTGAGCTGTGACTGCATCACTGCATTACAGCCTGGGCAAGAGTAAGACTTTGTCTTTAAAAAAAAAAAAAAAAAAAAAAAAAAGGAATAAAGCCTCTTAACTTCAATAGCTATGAAAATTAAATCTGATTTTCTAACATGAAGTTGTGACAAGTTATACCATTGTCTTAAAAGGTAAATTCCTACCATAATTTACTTTCAAATTTTAGGTGGAGCATTTGTAGTGTTAATGTTGGGAGATTTTAAGAAAACTTGAATTTATACTGTACCTTTAATCTGAGACATTCAAGCTTCACTTGTGTTTTTGTGTTTATCTTAATCACAGTCAAAGAAAAGTAGGGAAAGTCCGTGCCTGAGTTCTTCAATTGTAAGATCATAGGATGTCCAAGAACAACAGCAAATAGGGGCAGGTTTGCCTTGTCCCCATATCCCTCTTTACTCCTGGTTCACTTTTGAGAGATTAATACTTTGGACCAGTAAAGGTGAACAAAATGTATATTTTCATTGCTCTGTACTAAAAGGGCAGGAATGTTATTAATTAAAACACTAAAGCAGAAATCCTACATTGCTATTAAAATTAAACATTGAGTATCACAATAAAAACAGTAACAAGTTAAACCTTGAAACATTATACTTAAGCATTTAGAGAAAGAATGAAAATTATGTGAAGTGAGAACAGAGACCGATTTTATACACATGCTTTTTTATTAGTATAGATACCTTCACAGACAATACTGTAATTTTTAGAGGAATTCCACATTATTACATCAACTGTGTGAATTTCTAACAGAGGCAAAACTGAGCACCATAGTTTACAAGTAGAAAGACCATGCTTGAGGACAACAGATGTTCACTAAGGATGCACAATTGATTTGAGAAGTTTTTAAGCCTCATCCTCACCCTCCTCCTCCTCGAACTCCCCTTGTTCATCGGCCGTGGCGTCCTGGTACTGCTGGTACTCAGACACCAGGTCGTTCATGTTGCTCTCGGCCTCGGTGAACTCCATCTCGTCCATGCCCTCGCCCGTGTACCAGTGCAGGAAGGCCTTGCGCCTGAACATGGCCGTGAACTGCTCCGAGATGCGCTTGAACAGCTCCTGGATGGCCGTGCTGTTGCCGATGAAGGTGGCTGACATCTTCAGGCCGCGGGGCGGGATGTCGCACACAGCCGTCTTGACGTTGTTGGGGATCCACTCCACGAAGTAGCTGCTGTTCTTGTTCTGCACGTTGAGCATCTGCTCGTCCACCTCCTTCATGGACATGCGGCCCCGGAAGATGGCAGCCACCGTCAGGTAGCGGCCGTGGCGCGGGTCGCAGGCGGCCATCATGTTCTTGGAGTCGAACATCTGCTGGGTGAGCTCGGGCACCGTGAGCGCGCGGTACTGCTGGCTGCCCCGGCTGGTCAGGGGCGCGAAGCCCGGCATGAAGAAGTGCAGGCGCGGGAAGGGCACCATGTTCACCGCCAGCTTGCGCAGGTCTGCGTTCAGCTGGCCGGGGAAGCGCAGGCAGGTGGTGACCCCGCTCATGGTGGCCGACACCA